CGAGAGTAGCGCTTGGAGCACAGAACGAAGCACATTGCTCTCCGCTACTTCCTTGCTCGTGAGCTGCAGCAGCGTGGTCAGTTGCGACTTGCGTACGTGGCCTCTGAGGCCAACACTGCTGATGTGCTCACCAAGGCACTCGCGCCTTGTGACCATCAGCGCTTTTGCACCCAGCTGGGTCTTGTGCCTGTCTTGCCTCACGTGCTCTCCTCTTGACTTCACTTGTACTGTGACATATATATATACCTGCTCTTGCTTGTGTAGTTTTATATATATGTCTATCCTCCTGCATGTGAACTGGCCTCTTGCCCTGCTCTTGTGCTCGGACTGTGTGGTGACTTTGTGATCCACCCTGAGCTTGCTTTGCTTTGCTTTGCTTGACTGGTCTTGTGACCCCTTGTTCTCCCCCACTTTGCCTATGGGGGTGTGTCAGAGCATTATAACTGATGCATGTTTGTAGGCTATAGTGGGGTAGCACATATGGGGTACAGCTTTCTAGGGTTGTATTTGTACCCAACTCTGACTTAGTCATTCCATTCCTGTTCACTTGTTTCACAGCTGCTGCCGTTGTCGCATGTAGAATTGCCGCTGCTGTTGCTCCTACTGTTGTCGCTGCTGCTATGGCGGTTGCCGACAGGGTCGCAAGGAGTTTTTCGAGTCGTGGGAGCGCCGCATGTATTTGCTTATGCTCAGCTCGTAACTCCGCGATTTTCTGTACTGAAATATCTTCTTTTCCCTCCATTTGGCGATTTACAGGAAGATGCGCGACGAAAATAATCGAATTCTAGGTGCTGGTCGACTTACTGCGAGTCAAATTGACTTAAGAATCGTCGAGCGCGAATTCTGTACGTTGCGTAAATCTCCCTTAGGCGAAATTCGCGTCCGATCTTGGCCGTTGAGGAGAAAATTGATCCGACGCTCCAAATTCCAACGTTTTTAGGCCAAATTCTCAGGGCCGTTGAGATGAAACTCGATCGAACAGTCGAAACTCCAACCTTTCCACCAGTAAATCTGAGGGGTGTTCGAAAACCGAATCGAGGGGGACTTAGAAAAATCGCGCGGAACTGGTTTTACATACCCGTATCGGCGCTTTCGTCGTCGCCCCCGCGGTTTTTAAAGGCCGGAACTAAGCGGTTGAAGACCTCGCGTGTAAACCCGCTCTGATTACCAAGTGTGAGGATCTGGGATCGAGCTCAGAAAAGATGATTCAAATTGAATTGAATTGAAAGATCACCTGGGTACAACACAAGGCTATATATAGGCTCGACACAAGGCCCCGTTACCAGGTGTTACGCGAAGGTTCCGCGGGTCGCGAAGCGTCCCGAACAGATCCTTACCGAATTCGATAGAAGGCAATTCGGTGGCAACCGAAAAGCCCGAATTCGGTGCACGCAACCTAGCTCGGTGCTATAACTATAATAAAATATAGGAAAGCACCTAGCCTAGAAAATCAAGCAATTCATGCATGCATATAATTATCCTATGCTAGAAATAGCATGATAAAAGTAAAGGCAAGCAAGCATAGCTGGCATAAGCCGTCGTACTCTCACACATCGCCTCAGCGTACGATCGAGGAGTAGGGATGTCTGGTGCATCCGGGTCTCCCTCAGGGGCAATCAGCGTGGACATGAGATGGGGCAAAGCAGCCGCAAAGCACTGGAACTCCTCCTGCCTGTCCTCAAGGACGTCTGTGCTAAGAGCACACTCACCCCCGACAGACGGAGGACAGACAGACTCAGACTCAGCAACAAGATAGGCAGCGTAGTCTAGACGAGAGCGAGCAGCGAAGTCGACAAGCTTAGCAACTAGAGCAGACGCAGCAGCAGACTCAAAGGAAGGGTCAGTGACGACAGTAGCAAGAAGGTGCGTGACCGAAGGACTAGTAGCACGAAGGGAGTCAGATTCCGGGTTAGCAAGAGAAGGAAGAGAGGACTCTAGAGGAGACGGCAACGAGACACGCAGAGGAGCAGTGGAAGGACGCAGTGCCATCTGGTGTGTGCCGAGGACCGAAGGAGGACGCGGACGCGCAGTACGACCACTAGAGCGAGCAGCACGAACAGGTGACGCGGGACGAGACGGAGGCTCACGACGCTCAGCAAGACCTCCAGTAAGACCAGTGTAGGGAGAAGGAGCAGATAGAGGGGAGGCGGGCGGTAACTGTGACTGCGACTGGACATGCGGTGGACATTCTAGGGGAGGAGCAGGACCAGTAGAGTGCGGGAGATCAAGAACCTGCTGAAGGAGCGGAACGAAGTACGGCCTCGGCCGCTCAGCGCCTCCAGAACCAGCAAGTACGGCACCAGTACCCCCAGCGGCAGCACCAGCGCCAGCAGAACCTCCAGCTCCAACAGCGCCAACTCCAGTACCCTCAGAAGCACCAGCGCCAGCAGCATCGCCAGCGCCAACACCCCCAGCAGCTCCAGCTCCAGCAGCACCAACTCCAGTAGGACCGTCAGCACCAGCTGCCTCAGCAGCACCCCCTGACGCACCAGCACCAGTAGAAACACCAGCGCCAACACCCCCAGCAGCTCCAGCTCCAGCAGCACCAACTCTAGTCGGACCGTTAGCACCAGCTGCCTCAGCAGCACCCCCACACGCACCAGCACCAGTAGAAACACCAGCGCCAACACCCCCAGCAGCTCTAGCAGTACCCCCAGACTCAGCAGCACGTCTCCAGCGGCGGGCGAACCACACGCGCAGCTCCTCTGGAGAGAGCGGCTCCCGCCTCGACGAAGTACCGCCGGCGGCCACACGAGCAGACCCAGCACCCCCAGGCTCCGCACCCCCAGACTCGGCACCGCCAGGCTCAGCACCCCTAGGCTCAGTACCTCCAGTCTCAACACCCCCAGACTAAGCACCCCCAGACCCGGCACCCGCAGGCCCGGCACCCCCAGGCTCAGCACCTCTAGCAGCACCAGAGTCAACAGCTACATCGACAAGCTCGACCTGTCTACCTGAGACACACCTGAAGGGGCAGGACCCTGAGGAGGGAGGGGGTCTACTTGGGTAGCACCTGGCGCAAGAAAGAGCGACGACGGGGGGAGGGGCGCAGTGCGGTAGGGGAAGAGACGGTAGTAAGGCACCAACTTGTCAATGGTGACGTCCTGGGAGGACAGAACACGGCGCGTGGCGGGGTGGTAAAACTGCCAGCCAGGCGCGTCAGGGGGGAAGCCAAGGAAGACGCACGGAACTGCATGGGGGGACAGCTTGTCCGCAGACAAGTCGCGGACAAACGCCCGAGATCCCCAGACCCAAAACGCAGACGCATCGCCAACCTTCCCTGTCCACCGCAAGGCGGGGGAGGTCTCTGGCAAGGAGACCCGGGGCTGAAGGTTGAGCTGATGCGCGGCGTACTGAACCGCAAACGGCCACAGAAAATGGGGGGCAGCCGCATGCATCATGGACATACGCGCGACGTCCATGACCATGCGAATGCGGCGCTCAGCAATCCCATTTTGCTGTGGAGAGGCCAGAAGCGTGAAGGTCTGGCGGATGCCCTGTGCCCGACAGAAGGCTCCCAGACGGGAAGAGGAAAACTCCCCTCCTCTGTCAGAGTGCAGACGCAAAACAGGAAAGTCCGAGCCGAAACTCTCTCTGAGCTGGAGACGAGCTGCGCGGATCAAGTCGATCAACACCTCAGTGACGTCACCCTTGCTGCGCAAGGGGAAGACTGTGGTGTAACGCGAGTAGTCGTCAACGACCAGCAGAAAGTACCGCTCTCTCCCCTGCCCACTGACGCGGGCTGGGCCCCACACGTCCATGTGTAGAGTTTGCAGCGAAGCCTCTGTCGGAGGAAACTCGGAGGAGTGAAGGGCGGCGCGCTGTCGCCCCTCGACGCAGGGGACGCAGGTAGGGCCAGGCTCTGGAGGAAGGGGAGGGAGAGACCGAGGAAGACCAGAGACAAGGACACGGGAGGCCATGCCTCGGAGACGAGGCAAGGAGGGGTGACCAAGGCGGTGTTGCCAAAGGAGAGTCTGGTGGGACAGCAGACGACACGAGCAGGGGGCAGACTCAGGACCAGACCTGGACGCCGCAGCAAACACCTGACTCGACGCAGCTACCTGGGCAGACTCAGCAGTAGGAGAAGACTCAGCAGTAAGGGTGTACGGGCTCGACCCTGGCCGACGGGTGAACATGGCCAAGTGTCAGCCTGTCCGAGCGCACCTGCAGTGGGTCACTCGCTGACTCGCAGGAGTGAACTGGTCAGCCCCTCGATCCTGTAGGTCCGCTCCACTCACCAAGTTCGTAGAGAACGAGGGGAGGTAGAGACCGGACAGGGTGCCAGAGGGGGCTGCAGGGCACGGAAGGACAGTGGAGAAGCTAGCAAGGACAGGACCCCCAGAGGGGTCTGCCAGGGAGACTGCAACCGGCCGACTAAGCGGCGTAAGAGTGGTGCGGTCTCGAAAGAAGGAGCGGGACGCACCCGAGTCCAGGGTGAAGGTGTTGAAGGCCTGAGCCGACGTAGTACCTGAGAGAGCAGACTCACCAGCACCTGGGGCGGCAGACGCACTGGCACCTGGGGCAGCAGACGCACTAGCACCTAGAGCAGCAGTCTCACCAGCACCTAGCGCAGCAGCCTCAATGCCCGGGTCAGGCGGTACACACAGGTAACAGGCACCCTCAACACTATCAGCAACAGCATACATGGCAGCAAGAATAGCATCAAAGTCAAGATCAAAGATAGCAACCCCGGCCTTAGCCAGATCTCCCCAGCGAGGGATCTTTGACGCCTCAGGGAACTGGCAACGCCACGCGTCCGTGAGGCGACCAAAGCAGCGCTGGGTGGAGTGCGGACCTCCGAGAGGTGCGAGGGTCACCACGAGAGGCTCCTATAGCGGAACTGGCAACACCCCTTAAAGACGGGGGTGCGAGGCTCACCACGAGAGGCTCCTATAGCGACTATGCTCTTCTCTATCGCTAGGAGGGCCTTCTCGAGGAGGTCAACGGTGAGAGTGGTGGGGTAAACAGAGAGGAAGTGGTCCCTGACTACACGGAGAGAGTCAGGGAGACGGATGAATATGTAGTAGAGGGTGATGTACATGGGGGGGGGGGTTCTTGGCGCAGAACTCAGTAGGAAGCGCAGCGCGGTAGCGAGTGTCACTAGTGCGGAGGTGGGTAATGAGGTCAGCGACAGTGGGAAAGGCAGCAAGGTCAGGGAAGAGGTATGGTAGCATGAGGCGGCTCAGTGCAGCAGTGGCAGGGGAAGAGTAGCGTGCAACTACAGCGTCGTACAAGGTCTGAGCACTCTTGTACTGGCTAAAGTGTGCACGCTCAGTGGTCGGTAAGTGGCGGCGCATAGCAAGGCGAGCAGCAACGTCACGTGTGGCCCACTGTGACCGAACAGTGGCGTCAGCATCAGCAGCAGGGGCAGGGGAGGCACCAGAAGTGAGGTCAAACAGGGAGAGGCCGTCTGCCCTATCGCACTGCAGGAAAAGCTCCAGATCATCTACCCAGACCTCAAAGTCCACTGCTCGACCCTCAGCGTCAAAGGTGAGAACGCTAGGGGAAGCCATAACAGCAGTAGGCAGGGCAGTGCAGTGGCAGAGACTGTGCTCTTACCTTGGTAGGTGGAGCGATCAGGCTGCTCGGCGGCTCGGCTGTCGGGCGGCTCGGCTGCAGGTCGGCTCGGCTGCTGGGCGGCTCGGCTGCTGGGCGGCTCGGCTGCACGGTGCTGGGCGGCTCGGCTGTCAGGCGGCTCGGCTGCTGGGCGGCTCGGCTGCTGGGCGGCTCGGCTGTCGGGCGGCTCGGCTGCTGGGCGGCTTGGCTGCCGGGCGGCTCGGTTGCTGGGCGGCTCGGGCGGTCGGGCGGCTCAGCTGGTCGGCGGTTCGGCTGCTCAGCGCTGCGGGCGCTGGGAGGCCGGGTCGCAGGTGGTGGCGAGGTCGCAGGTGGCGGTGTAGCGGGGCCACGACGGGGCCGTAGCGGGGCCTAAGCGGGGCCGTAGCAGGGCCGACGGGGCCTAAGTGGGGCCGTAGAGGGGCCGAAGCGAGGCATGAGCGGGGCCGCGACGGGGCCGACGGGGCCAAAGCGGGGCCGACGGGGCCGACGAGGCCGTAGCGGAGTCGTAGCGGGGCCGTAGCGGGGCCGACGGGGCTGACGGGGCCGTAGCGGGGCCGTAGCGGGGCTGTAGCGGGGCCGTAGCGGGGCCGTAGCGGGGCCGTAGCGGGGTCGTAACGGGGCCGTAGCGGGGCCGTAGCGGGGCCTAAGCGGGGCCGACGGGGCCGTAGTGGGGCCGTAGCGGGGCCTAAGCGGGGCCGTAGCGGGGCCGACGGGGCCTAAGCGGGGCCGTAGCGGGGCCGTAGCGGCCTAAGCGAGGCCGTAGAGGGCGGCTCGAGGGGTAGTAAGGGCGGCCAATAGGGGCCACTAAGGCGGCTCGAGGTGCTACTCGGGTTAGGAGCTAAGCGCGCTCCGGGCAGGAAAAAAAAAGTTCGTGGTGGGCCCTAGGCAGTATTCCCACTCGGGAACCTGCTCGATACCATGACGAGAAGTGAGAATGGAATGAATGAACTATGAAACAGTTGGGTACAAGTACTAACCCTAATTGGGTTGTACCCCTTATGGGCTACCCCACTACAGCCTACACAAATGTATAAGCTATAATGTTCTGACAGGGTACTCGCCCCATAGCAGTGAGGGAATATATCTTACGCCTCGCGGCGAAATCAGCACTCTCCTCGCTAGCTGAAGAAGCACGGGCCCATTTCCTCCTGCTCCAGTATTGTATCGCCGTCCTGTCAGAATATTATGTTTCTCTAGTCTGCAGTGGGGTACTCTATAGTGAGTACAACCCTTTTAGGGTTTGCTATATGTACCCCAATGTTTGCTAGTGAACCCTCCTCTCTTCTTCATTCCTCATTTCTTCACATGCTATCAGAGCATCTACGCTCCAGGCCTGTGGGCCCACCTAACTGCTTCCGCTGCTACTCTGTGTTCGGCACGCCCCGTAGCGTGCCCCTCGCGCTTCTCTTAGCGGCCCCGTTGCCGCCCTTCCAGGCCCCTCGCGGCCCCTTCGCGGCCCCGTTGCCGCCCTTCCAGGCGCCTCGCGGCCCCTTCGCGGCCCCGTCGCCGCCCCTTTCGCGGCCCGTCGCCGCCCTTCCAGGCCCCTCGCGGCCCCTTCGCGGCCCCGTCGCCGCCCCAATCGGCCCTGTCGCCGCTGCCAGCGGCCCCGTCGCCGCCGCCAGTGGCCCCGTCGCCGACCCTAGCGGCCCCGTCGCCGCTCCTATCGGGCCCGACGCTGCAGCCAGCGGCCCCGTCGTCGCCGCCAGCGGCCCCGTCGCCGACCCTAGCGGCCCCGTCGCCGCCAGCGGCCCCGTCGCCGACCCTAGCGGCCCCGTCGCCGCCCCTATCGGCCCCGTCGCCGCCACTTGTGGCCCCGTCGCCGCCCCTATCAGCCCCGTCGCCGCCTCCAGCGGCCCCGTCGCCGCCACTTGCGGCCCCGGCCCCGCCCCGGCCATGCTCCGTCGCCAGCCGCGGTGCACCGGGGGCACGTGCACCTCCCCCCCCCCCTTTTCCCGTCGCCTGTCGAGGCGACCTAGGGGGGGGGGGGGGGGGCGAGCGTCGCCCCTTCTACCGCCTGCTTTGGCGCCCAGGGAGGCCGCGCGTCGCCCCCCCCCCCCCCCCTCCCCCCCCCCCCGTAACCTCCCTACCCGCCATCCCGCCCTGCCCTCTGTTAGGGTTTGGGGGTGGCGAGTAGGGGGTGGCGGGTGTGTGGTCTCCCCTGCTCCTCCTCCTCCTCTGTCTCCCACTGTTGCAGCTGCCGCTGAGGGGGGTGGGTGTGTGGGAGTCGACGGAGTGGTGCTAGGGGGTGGGGTGTGACTGAACCTAGGGGTGCAGTAGGGGGTGTGTGAAATGGGGGTGGGATAGTCTGGGGAGGTTGAAGGGGGTGGCCGCCGTGAAGCCCGCAGCTCCAGTCGCCCGTGAGACCGTTGCGCCAGTCGCACGTGAGCCCGAGGCGCCAGTCGCCCGTAAGCCCGATGCTCAAGTCGCCCGTGAGTCCGTTGCTCCTGCCGCTCAAAGTTAGCCGCAGAGCCAGTTACTCCAGTAGCCCGTGTGCCAGTTGCTCCAGTTGCCAGTGTGCCAGTTGCTCCAGTTGCCCGTGTGCGAGTTGCTCCAGTTGCGCCGTGTGCCAGCAGCTTCAGCTGCCACCCACTACCTCCTCTCTTCTCATAGTCCCTCCTCCTCCACACTTGCCCTCTGCGATAGCCTCTAGCTTTGCTTACATTTGTGAACTTTAAACTGTTGCTTCTTGTACTTGTGCTCAGAATGTGTGGTGACATTGTGATCCACCCTGAGCTTGTTCTGCTTTGCTTGTTGTGCTGATTACACCCCACTTTGACCATGGGGGTGTGTCAGAATATTATGTTTCTCTAGTCTGTAGTGGGGTACTCTATAGTGAGTACAACCCTTTTAGGGTTTTCTATATGTATCCCAATGTTTGCTAGTGAACCCTCCTCTCTTTTTCATTCCTCATTTCTTCACACGTCCAGGGAGGTAGCGAAGCGATAATCCACGCCGCCAGGTCGTACATGTGTACGCATAGCGACGCATTGATTCTTCAGGCGAACCTCTCAAACGCTTTCAATAGCATCAGTCGCGAGACAATAGTAGCAGGCCTACGCAAAAACACGCTTGAAGGGATACTCCTCCTAGTTCACATCTCTTACGGTGCGCCGTCCGAGCTTTTCCTCGACGCAGGTTATAATAACCCACCATTAAAAAGCGTTACAGGGGTTCGCCAAGGCGATCCACTCGGGCCACTGTTCTTCGCGACAGGTATTCACCCGTCCCTCTCCGCGACCGCAACCACATTCCCGACCGTGCTCTACCTGGCATTTTCCGACGACGTCACGTTTCTGGGGCAAGCGTCGGAGTGTACGGCGGTGTTTAACCACTTCATGAGCAGCGTGAAAAAACATGGGGCTTAGACACAACGCGAGGAAATGCGCGACGTGGAGCGCGGTACGACCGCCGAAAGGGACTCTGCCAGCAGGGGTCCCATTCTGCCCCGACGAACTGCGTGTTCTGGGTAGTTTCATTGGCGCGCCAGAGGGAGCAGCCTCCTGTATACAGGCGCAACTACAGGCCATGACAGACCCACTCCCACAGATAGCCGACTTGGATCCGCAAACAGCGTCGGTGCTGCTAACCAGGTGCATCTCGAGGTGGATATCCTACCTCGCGCGCACCACCGTACTCGGCGATGCCTTGTTAAGGGACCTTACCGCCTTCTGCGCGCAGCTTTGAATCAACGGCGTCCTTGTGCTTTTTACTAAGACTGTGTTTCCGCATCGACTGCCGCTGGATGTCAGCTCGGTCCTCTCCAAGTCTCCCGTACTTCCAATTGGCATGACCGTGAGCCATGCATATGCTGCAATTCATACACAGATTCCCGTCCTTCCGGTCTTATGATCAGCCGTTTGAATTTACCCTTCCAATATTCCTTCGACCATGCGTGAAGTTCAGGCATCAGGGCGTCCGGATGAAGATTATCAATGGTACTCCTTGACGGGCCAGGATCACCTGTCGGATGAGCTACTGGTGGGATCGATGAAACTCCTACTCTAGGCAGCGTGGTGGGGCGTGCGATGATGCAAATGTGTGGAACCCTGTGCCTTAGCAAACCGCAGGGTTCCCTGGGTGAACCGGCCAGCCTTGGGGAAACACGGACAGCATCACTACGTGATGTGCTAATCGATGCTTGCGATCTAGGAGTTGTCGTAGTAGAGGGACTAGGGGAGACAGGCAGTGTTCTTCAGAAAGCCCGTTGGGCATTAAGATCGGGCTAAGAAATGGGCGTAACTTTGCGTGGAGCTGGGGAAGAAGCTACGGCAACGCGTGTCGGGGAGAACGAGCCTAACACGGCGACTGGCTGGGATCGTCGTAGAAAATTGTCAGAATGTTCTTATCTAGCTTGTAGTGGGGTGCTCTATAGCAAGTACAACCCTGTTAGGGTTTGCTATATGTATCCCAACTGCTGCTAGTCAAACCCTCTTCTTTCTTCTAAACTTTCTCATGCTATCAGAGCAGGTCGATCCCCTTGGATCGATCCTGTGGGTGGGCTCACCACCTCGTTGCTTCCGCTGCAACTCCTACTGCCACTGCTATCACTACTTTCTGTGCCGCACGCCCCGTGGCGTGCGGCATTTTTTCATCCCGCCGTGCGCCCCGAGGCGCGCGGCGGTTTTCTGCCCGCCGTGTGCCCCGAGGCGCGCGGCGGTTCTCTTCCCGCCGTGCGCCCCGAGGCGCGCGGCGGGTTACTGCCCCGTCACGCCGCGCGCCGCTCCTGGGAGGCGCTGCGACGGGCGACAGGGACCTCCGCGTCGCCCCCCGTCGCCCGTCGTGGCCTGCGCGCGGCACGTACGGGCCGCGCCAGACCCGTACGGGCGGCGCCAGGCCCGCGCGCGGCTTGGGCCGCCTGCGCGCGGCTCGGGCGACCCTATCTGCGGCCCCCTCGTTCCGTCGCCCTACCTACGGCCCGGCTCCGTCGCCCTACCTACGGCACCCCCCCCCCCCCCCCCCCCCCCTCTCCACCCTTTTCCCGTCGCCCGTCGCGGCTCCTTCGGGGGCCGCACCTGGGGGATGGCGAGTAGGGGGTGGCGAGTATGGGGGTGGCAGTTGTGCATTCCTCCCTTTGCTCCTCCTCCTCCTTCGTCTCCCACTGCTGCAGCTGTCGCTGAGGGGGGTGGATGAGTGGGAGACTGGGGTTTAGGGTTTAAGGGGGGTGCGTGGGAGTGGAGCTAGGGTTTGAGCAGTGGGCATGTGCCGAGAGTGTGGGACAGTTGGGGGAGGTCGAGTGGAGGCAGCAGTCTTGTCGTCAGCAGCAGCAGCAGTCCGGAGGCTACAATCTCCGGTAGTCGCCAGTCGCCCGTGGGTCCGTTGCTCGTCTGCCGCTACTATTAGCCGCGGGGCCAGTTACTCCAGTAGTCCGGAGCGCTGTTCCGGTAGCCACTGAGCCAGCAGCTTGTCTGTTTGTCTGCGGCGTCAGCAGTCGCCTCCCATCTTCTCTCTCCCACAGCTCCTCCTCCTCCTCACTTGTCCGCTGTGATTAGCTCTAGCTTTGCTCATATTTGTGAACCTTTAAACTGTTGCTTCTTAAACTTGTGCTCAGAATGTGTGGTGACATTGTGATCCACCCTGAGCTTGTTCTATGCTTGCTTGCTCTGCTGATTACACCCCACTTTGGCTATGGGGGTGTGTCAGAATGTTCTTATCTAGCCTGTAGTGGGGTGCTCTATAGCAAGTACAACCCTAATAGGGTTTGCTATATGTATCCCAACTGCTGCTAGTCAAACCCTCTTCTTTCTTCTAAACTTTCTCAAAAATCTAGGCCCGTTACAAGTGGTTTGGGCCGTGGGGTGGGTGTTTCAGCAGCGTCCGCGTCGTCCGCCATGACGAGAATGTTGGGAATAATAAGTCTTAAGCGCCTCTGTCGTGTCGAAACTCAGGACACTAGCGAAGCAGTCCGAATCGAAGCATCGCGAGTCAACCCTCGGAGGTTAGGGTAACCGCCTGGAGGTTACGAGAAGGTCAAAGGTCAGCGACCTTTGACTTGACAAATATAGCGCGACAGCAAGGACACACAACTGACTCGACATTGAGCAGTTGCCCGAGTCGCACTGTATCGAATCGCAACAGTAAAACGGTTTTAACTTATCTATTCGTATTCCTTGTACTCTTATATAAACCTCTGTATTTGCTTGTTTAATCAACTTACTTTGTCCTCACATACTAGCGCAAGGTGGTTCAAGTATTTTCATTCAAACGCTTCCGCTACTACAATTCTACTCAGACTTAAAACTCTACAAAGATCCTAGGGCACTTCAGCCCAACATGGTATGAGAGCAGTTAGAGTTTTAAAGTTGTTTTCCTTTTAACACTCAATACAAGAAGACATGTCTGCAAGGAAGGAGAGGAGCTCCTCCAACGGCTCTCTAGGCACTACTCCTACTCCACCTCCTGTCTCTGGTCTACAGACAGAGGAAGGGACTACCACGAGACCAGCAGCTGGGTCTACGGAAACGCCCGCAGGCTTCGATCCAAGCATGATGGAAAAGTTCTTCTCCTTCATGTCCTTCTACGAGCAGCACCAGCAAGGAGCACCTGCGCAATCAAACAACAGCAACAACAACAACAACGTGACGCCTATGAGTCTCGATGGCTCATCCTACGCACGCGGGATTCAACAACAACAACAACAGCCTACCTTTGCGCCATACGAGCCCCAGCGTGGCTCCGTCAGCTTCATGCCACAAGCGCAACCTGCACCAGAACAAGAAAGGGCATTGGATGCGTTACAAGTTCAATCGCAATTCGCGCATGTCTTAAAACTACAAACGACAAAGCCTTTCGACGGCAAAGATTTCTTCACCTGGTCGTTCGAGTTCGAACTGATGATGGAAGGAGCACAGATTCTCGGCTTCTTCGACGGGTCCTTGCCATATCCAACAAACGGGAC